CCATATTTGAATGCCAGTTCCTCCTCTTTGCTGAAGWGTGTTAATGCAAACAAATAAGTATTTTTAAAAATAGATGATTTTTTTTATTTGTAACAAATGCACATGATATAAAATTAAAAAATAAAAAAGAAGTTTTTTGTTCCTTGTCTTCTTGCAACACTGACCAGTTTTTCATCTGTTCTTCTAGAGATTAGAGATATTCTCTCTCTATATATATGTATACATTATATACTTATATCATACCAGATTCATTTGTAATGTGACTTTTGTCATCCTAGGACACAATTTGAATATAAAGTCCTTGTAAATATAATTTTAAGGGTGCATTAATATCTTACTGTCACAATTAAATAGTTCCCTTTGATGGACATTTAGATTAGTTAGACCCTACTAAATTTCTTCATCTGAATGCATAAAACATTTACTCAATTTACCAGTTATAAAGCCAATGCTTGTGTTAMTAATGTCCAGGCCAAGAAATAAGAGGATCTTCAAAAGATCCTCTGATTGCAGTCCCCAGTCCCATCCATTCTTGCTCCTAAGCCCTTTCTGCATTTTAAAGTAATAACTAGGCTGGCTCCTTATATTTTTACCACCTTTGAATGTACTCCTAAACCAAGGTTTACTTTTGCCTTTTTKGGGGGAACCTAGCAAATAGAATCATACACTATACTTAAAAGAATGCCAACATATAGAAGAGTCCACAGGTCATAGTGTCTCAAATCATATGAAGACCCCAGTGTGCCTACCATCTAGTTTGTCTTATGGAACCCCACATACTTTGCAGATTAGATAGTCTGATAGCCACAGCTATCTACAAAGAATGGCCTTTCATTGAGGCTCTATTAAATATTGAAAATGCAGGAGAAAGAACAGGCTCAAGGTCCCCTAGGCTGGGGATATGGCACAGGCATGATGAAGGTTCCCAGATCTGAAAGGCCCCAGCTTCAGTGAGAGAACTAGAGAAACAGTGATTGTCTGGGAGGAAACATTATTTCTACTGGTCTGAGACTGCCCAGGTATTTCAAAGAGTTCCTCCAGTAGACTAGGTGCCCTTTTATCTCATACATTTTCTCTCTATAATCTTGAAATTTATCAAAGCAAGACCATGTATGTAGCTTAAAAGAATTAAATAGCCAGGCGTGGTGGCGCACGCCTGTAATCCCAGCAGTTCCAGAGACTGAGGCAGGAGGAGGATTGTGAGTTCAAAGCCAGCCATTGCAAAAGTGAGGTGCTWAGCAACTCAGTGAGACCCTGTCTCTAAATAAAATACAGAATAGGGCTGGGGGATGTGGCTCAGTGCTCCTGAGTTCAATCCCTGGTAGACCCCTCCACCCCCCACCCCAAAAAAATAGAATTAAATAGTACAACAAGGCTATGGACAAAGCTGTCTCTGCTCCTCAGTCATTCCCAACTCTCCAACAAGCCTCCAATTCTCAACTCAGCAGCTGCTTCTCACGCTTACCTCCAGCTTACTCGATTGCATGCTTATAATCTGCTTTTCCATTTTTATACATCTATGCTGATTTGACCAAAGATTAGGATTCAGGACACAAATTAATACAAACCCTAACCCTAATAACTCTGAAGAGCAGTTTTATTGAAGTACAATTTATATATATAAAAAAATTATTATTTTGGTGGCACTGGAGATGCAACCCAGTGGCACTCTATAACTGAGCTACCCTCTCATCCCATTTTTTAAAATTTTGAGACAGGGTGTCACTAAATTATGCAGGATGTCCTTGAACTTGTGATCCTGCTGTCTCAGCCTCCCTAATAGCTGGGATTTTAGGCATGCACCCAGAAAAATGTTTTAAGTTMCAGTTTGACAAGTTTTGCCCACTRTATACATGGTAATTTTATAAAATGAAACTTTATAGAATATTTCCATGCATATAAAAAAAATTCTGTTGGACCCTTTGTAGTCAGTCCCCTTATTAAAAAAAATCTAAACAGTAATTGTAAAGTAATATAAAATAATATAAAACTGTAAATTGCCGAGGCTGGCCTTGAACTTGTCATCTTCCTATATCACTGGGATTGCAGGTATGTGCTACTACATTGGCTCTTTTTTCTAGGTTCTTTTTTAGAACCTCTTTCAACTGAGTGTTGTATTTAACAAGTTTTTATTGAGCATCAGCTAATGTACTCGCCCTGGTCATTATCATTGTACTGACTACTCAGCCCTGCAAAAAAATTTTTAATTATGTTTCTGAGCACTGGCCARTTACAAGAACATAGAGGATACTTGGTTATAGAGGCCCAGATCTATTCTGGTGAAGATAAAATACAAAATAAAAATAGAAAGGCAACTGAAATGGGAATATGGATATTCCCAGATTATGACGGCATTAACATTTATTATCCTTGATATTGCTGTGATTCATGTGTAACTGGTAAATATCCTGTTAAGCATGCGGCTCAATGCCAGACCCCTAAAAATGTTCAGTGTGTATAACTGACTTGAAATAGCCCAAATGTAAAGAAGCATTGAAAGCCAATCAAACGAAATTATTGGGCCAGGTGTGGTGGCACA